TTGTCTTGACCCTGTCCCGATGCTTCAATCCATGAAGAGCCAAACCCGTCCCGTGGGCCGCTTCACTGAAGTCATGGGGCCATATTCTGCCCTCATTTATGCTGGCGGGAACCCAAGGGGTCACACATCCAGCTGTCAGACCATCTGAAGAATGTGTGACCCAATCGTCACCCCAGTCCCCAAATCCTTCCCGCTCTGTTTGATGACATGACTCTGGATTCGCAAACGACAGCAAGATCTGGCCCCGTGCAGGATACTGCGATGGAGTTTGGTCCTAAGCGGTTGGGTCCCTAGCAAAGGAGAAACACCTGCAAAGTGAATGGATTTAGGGTGCAGGGTTTGAAAGCTTCCCCTCCTGCCGTATCTCGCATGCACCCAACCCAGCGCCTTCCATCCCCCCGGCGCCTCGCAGATCTGACGGGAAAGCTGGATTTTTGGAATCATCTGCGTTCGTTCAGCTAAACAGATTTTCTGCTTTGCAAATCAAATCCGCAAAGCCCACAGAGCCAGTGCTGGATTTATTCTTTTCCGTATGTGTTTGGACTCAACGGCCCTTTTAATGGCAGCCTCAAAGCAAGGGAAGGAATTACCAGCCATCTGGAGTAGCTCAGGGCTGCACAGACCCGACAAATCCTCCCGTTGCTGCTTGTTGATAAAAGACAAAGCCACCAGAGGAAAATCAGGGCTGATCATAATTCCCCCCACCCCCCCGCAGCTGGACTGCTACCAAATGGGGTGATTGTGTCTCGAAAGTGATCCCCCATCCTTTTGCACACGTCACCTGGCTACAGCCCCCCACCTAGGGGCCGAAACCTTATAAGGAAAGTCCTGGGGAGGTGAGGCTGCTCGGCACCCGGCAGCCTCAGGCCCTTCGTTCGCTGCCTCCAGCTGTCGGCCAGACAAGTCAAGCTCCGTGTATCCCCACCCTGAGCCTGACGCGCCGCAGCAAGTGGGGAGCTGCACAGAGAGATAAGGGGCGCGCCGGAATCGTTCTTCCAGACGTGTTCACATCTGCCTCGTTACCTCATCTTTTCCTCCCTCTCCCCCCACCCGTCGCTGCTCGGCAGAGGGAGGCTTCCGGCGAGGCGAGGGAGGTGGCGGGTGTAGGCAGGGCCCGCAAGGCCAGCACGAGAGAGGGATGGGGAGGTTGGCAGGGGAAGGACCGGCGTGGGTATCAAAGCTGGCCCTGCTGACGGAGCCCGCCCCGGGGAGGCGAGGCCTGGGACATGGGCCAGGCCTGAGCGATGTGGGGCCCGGAAGGCTGGGAGACGAAGAGGCAGCCAGCAGCAGACAAGAGGGGTGCAGTGATGGGAGAGGGCGGTTATGGGCTAGGTTTGTAGGCGGCAGGAGACACTCCCCCGACTAAGCTGCACTCCAAAGGCTCCTTCGCACTCGCTCCTCCTGCTGGGCCCGCTGGAGGCGAACTCGCCACTCAAAGCGCAACCTGGCCGAGTTCGTTCTTCCTCGGGTTCCCTGCCGGTGCGACTGTGTCACGGCGCCTCGGAGCCAGGGCTGCCTCCAGTGGCCGGTGCAGCCCCAAGCACATCGCCGGCGCTCCGCAAACGATACAGAACTGGCGCTAGAACTGTCCGGGTAGCTTACGCTGTTCCTCTCCCTCCGCCGAGCAGTAGCAGATTTCGAGGCCTTGCAGGATGGTTTGATGTGAGCTCATTTCTGAGTGTCATTTGTTTTATTTGCACTCCGTTCACCAGTCTGGTAACCGAGGTGGTGACACATGCCCCCCGTCCGGGAATCTCAGCCCAGTGCCCTCGAGCGAGTCTCAAGACCTGACTCTTGTTAGAGTGCAGAGACCAAACGCTCTTGCTGCTGGCTACAGCTCCCACCCAAAAGCAAAGGCCTCCCCCCACTGACAACAAGCCAGGTTTCTTCGAACACCGCGCAGCCCTCGCACGCTCGGAAAAACAGTGTGTGTGAGTGCGTGTAACAGCGCGGCCTCTCCTGTAACACCGTCAGATAAAGCTCACGGCCTTACTAGCCCCAGGAGTTCTTTGGGCACTCTCTTGTGTGTGGTGGCACCATTGTCCGCAGGAATCGCCCTTGGTAGGAAGCGGAGGCACAACCGGTGGAGGCATCCATGAAAAGGAAGCCATGGCACTGTCGCTACAAACCGACAACGCCCGCCCAAGCTCCGACAGAGAGAGCCAGCCTGCCGGTTGGGGACCTGTCCCGCAGCAGCCCGGGCCGTTATGGCAGTCAAAAGCCTGGGGGACTCCCGAGGAGCTGCTACCCCTCCGGCACCGTGCTGCATTGCCAAGAACTGCCCGTCCTCCCTCACGCTACACATCCAGGCCTCCGGCGCGCCCTGCCGCCGGTCAGCTAGCAGGGTCACGAGTGCAGCATAGACGGATCAGAAAGCAAGAGCCGCTCCTCAGCCTGAACCCCAATGCAGCCTGGGGTTGGAGGAAACCCGTCACCTCAGCACTCAGCTGCGACCATGGGGCTCAGAGGGCATCGCTGTATGGCTCTGGCCATTCTTCAGACGCCCACAGAGAGACCAGGCCGCAGAGAGAGGGTCTGGGGCGGAGAGAGCGGCTGAGGAGGCCCCGCTGAGCTTTGGACCTGCGTTGCTCAGAGAAGAAGAGTGCCGTGCCGCAAAGGAAACCCCCATGGCCTTTCTCTCGGCCGTGCGCTGTTCCATTCCTAGCGTGTTCCCCGTCGTGAGCTGCGTCCTCCCACAGGGGCAACAAAGGAACCGCTTGGAAAGAACAGCCTAGTGGGGAACAGTCTTCCCCATCCAGCCTCTCTCCTCTGCCCCTCTCCCGGCCTGTGTTTGTGGCCGGGCGCTGTTGTCCGGGAACGGGGTCCCCGACATCCGGCTATCCCTCCGCTGCTGAGACCCACAGTGTGACTCCCAGCCACGGCTCGCGAGCTGGCCATGCGGTTGCCGTGGAGATGATTGTCAAAGGGTGTACTCGGTGGCAGAAGTCAAGTCATCCGTAGACAGTGAAGGCCAGACGGCCCTTATTGGCCTAAACTCTTCTGTACCACAGGCCAGGGGGTGGTTTTTAAAATGGGTGTGATGATACCTCCTGCCTGGGCTGGCCCCTAAGACTGAGGCAAAGCCCAGTGGAGTCGGCGGCCATCTTTGAATTGACGTTGGTGGGCGTTGGGCCAGGTCCGACACACTTTGAGATGACAGAATTGCACTCTCCTGGTGAAGGAGCATTGTCGAATTGCCTCGCACCCGGCCCCATCTCCACACGGCTGTGGATGGCTGGGGCTTGTTTGCGAGGCTGCCGTGAGGCAAACCGATCGTGTGGTGCCATGAATTATTCCGGCATCACCACCCCTGAATTCAGAGCAGCATCGGGGGGTTCGCTCACCTGCTTGGTTTGGAAGGGCCCGGGCTGGTAGGCAGACCAGAGTACGCAGCTGCTCAGGCAAGGTTTGCTTTGCAATCTGGCTGCCTCTGTCTCACCAACTCCCCGGGAGAGTATTAGCATGGATGCAAAGATAACACACGCAGCTCGGCTCCGGCACCCGCCACTTCTGGGCATCTCACCTGTTCAATAATTAACATGCTGTTAATTACCACGGATTCCTTCTGAACATGACGTAGGGTGGCACGAGGACGCTCTCGCACTGACCTTGGCCTTTCAGGGACTTGCTAAAGCTAATTCAATGTCCCCACGGAGAAAATGCCCTAGTCTGCAGGTATGACGACGGTTTGCTACTGATACCCAAATAGATCGTCAGCTTCAAAGCACTTCACAAACCTCAGTGAATTAATCCGCACTCCAAACGCCTGTAAAGTAGGTGAGTAAATATTCCAGTACCCCAAAACTAGAGCCAAAGGGAAACCGGCTGAGGGTTGAGGAGAAGGTAAAACATGTGACAAATGCCCTGGGTGAGTATGAAGAGTCAGTAACCAACGTGGGTTGAATCCTGGTGTGCTCCATTTTTTTTACGCCTCCATCGCCATTCAGCGAACCAAATTCTGAGGCCTTGCCTCAATTCTGACTCAGGTCAAGCGCCCACGGACGTCAGCTCAGTTGCGTATGCAGCACCTGTTTTGACTTATCGATTTCATAGGGATGTGGGGCCGTCATGGCCTCCCTGGAACGTGATGATTTGGGGTAAGGTTGGAGCGCAGATGGCTTAAAAACGTGCCCTTTCAGTGTCTATAATTCATTGCCAGTCAGCTCAAACTACCTGACTCTCGAGTACAGTCTCTGTCCATCTGTCTGTCTGACCCGCCTCGCTCTTGCTGCCTCTCTTATTCCACATTTTTACTCCGTGCTTCATAAAAACATAGCACAACCGATCCACGGCGTATTCGGCAGAACCTAGACGCTACGTGGCCATATTGCCCAACGAGCTGTTATTGGGTGAGTGATAAAAATGTGCCATGGGAGGAAGTTCCCTGCAGCTTGTTTGTACCGGGAGTAGAGCTAAGGCAACCCTGTCTTGTGAAACAGCATGAAAACGGGCTAAGAAACGGCATAAAAAGACCTTTCTGTGTTTTTCCAGTAAAGCCGGACCCTCCGGAGAACGTGGTGGCCAAGCCAGTCGCCAACAACCCCCGGAGGCTCGAAGTGAGGTGGCAGAATCCTTCCTCTTGGCCTGACCCCGAGTCCTTCCCGCTCAAATTCTTCTTGAGGTATCGCCCCCTCATCCTTGACCAGTGGCAACACGTGAGTGACATCTAAATCCCCTTCCTTGAGGGGCAGGGCGGGAGGTGGGGGTGAAGCGAGAGGCGTTATTGTGTTGTAAAGGCCCAAACCTGCAGCCTCACCTTATCTGTGAAGTCCGTGGAGGTAAGGGGGAGACTAACAGGCGCAGAATGTGGGCTCATGGTTTGGGACGGGCCATGGACAGGAGGTGATTGGGAGCAAGAAGCGGCTGTATAGCTGCAAAGGCGATACCACTGTCCGGTAACCAGCTTGTGCCAAACGCGCGTTCGATTCTTTGCTTTACGTCAGGACGAGCACACAAAACCGAGGGCTGGAGTCTCTTGCGAGTCCCATTCTACCTTTGAACCATTCCCCTCGCTCACATTGTAACACGAGGCCAGTGTCTCATTTCCATACATATGTTCTACATAAAACTTGCCCGCCGAGATGTAAGAGGCATTTGAAGTGTAAATGTCACTGCATTCAAATGCGCTCTGCCAAGATGGATTCCAAACCGGAGATAAAACGTATCTCCTGCCGCCGCCCGCTGTGTTATCAGGGACGCGGCCCTTGCCTTGATGTTACCGGACTTTTTATTTCTTGTTTCTTTTTTGTAAAAAAAAAAAGAAAGTTGTCCGTGAAGTGCTTAGGACTTTTGTAGCGACAAGGACTGGGATAGCCCAGATAAAAGCATGTGAGTCTCCAAGTCATTCAACCTCTGTCTTCTCTACCGAGGGTAGCCGATTGTAATCCCAATTAGGCAATTTGGTGGTGGGCTATGAGATGTGGAGATTGTTTTGGTTGAAAAAGATCTTTTGATCGCAAAGAAAAGTTCGATGTCAAAGTTGTGGGTCCTTGGGTTTGACCATGCAAAAATATGTCATTTTGTTCCCAATTGATTTTTTTTTTTAAACCAAGAAATGTTGGGGAGCTGTTTCTTGGGGGAGTTTTAAACCTGTTTTCTCATTCCCTTCCCCCATTTTTTCAGTGGAAAGCAGGGGGAAGGAGAGGTTAGGGAGTCTAACACATGAAGCTTAAAAATAAAAACCTCGCTGACATTTTCATGAAAAAAAATGGTTTGAGGGGCAAAACTTGGTTTCACTCCCTCAAAAGTCAGAAGACTTCAGGGGACATTTCAAGCGAGACCATTGCAAGACTTCAGGGGACATTTCAAGCGAGACCTCTTTCCTTTTGGCTCCTAGCAGGATGGAACTAACCCGCCAGTCCACCCCAGTGACGTCTACAGCTCCTTGGGTCTAGATGACTATAATTGTGAGGCTGTGTGCCAGTCCCTTTATGCTGGACATCAAGAAAAAAGGGGGCTTGGCAGTTTACCAGGACCCTACAGTCTATTAAATAGGATTGCTGGCATTTGAAGCTATGTTAGGAGCAGAAGGGTGGCCCAGTAGTCACTGTCAGACCTGGAAACTTTGATGCCACACCCCTTTTCCACCACAGACTTCTTGGGTGTGTCTAGACTGGCAAGATTTTGCGCTTTTGTGCAAAAACTTGCCTGCTCTCTACACTGTCCGCTTGAAGTTGCGCAAGAGCACTGACTTGGTAATGTACAAAATCAGTGCTTCTTGCGCAAATACTTTCACGCTCCCGCACGGGAAAAAACCCTTTTGCGCAAGTGTTCTTGCACAAGAGGGCCAGTGTAGATAGGGAAGGAATTTTTTGCATAAGAAAGCCCCGATGGCGAAAATGGCCGCAGGAGCTTTCTTGCGCAAAATTGCGTCTATACTGGCCACGGATGCTTTTGCGCAAGCATCCACGCCAATCTAGACGCTCTTTTGCGGAACAATATTTCTGCAAAATCATGCCAGTCTAGACACAGCCCTTGTGTGGCATTGGGCATGTCACTGAGGGTACGTCTAGACTACATGCCTCTGTCGCCAGAGGCATGTAGATTAGGCTACCAGACATAGGAAAATGAAGCGGCGATTTAAATAATCGCCGCTTCATTTAAATTTACATGGCTGCCGCGCTGAACCGACAAACAGCTGATCAGGGGATGAGGTTTACCGGGGCTGCCGACAAAGGGCTTTGATGTCGGCAGGGGAGCGTCCAGACTAGCGCGCTGAGCGGACAGGAGGCATACCTCCTGGTGGTCGACAAATACCTTTGATGTCGACACCCGCGTGTCCAGACTATTGTGCTGAGCCAACAAACAGCTGATCAGCTGTTTGTCGGCTCAGCGCGGCAGCCATGTAAATTTAAATGAAGCGGCAATTATTTAAATCGCCGCTTCATTTTCCTATGTCTGGTAGCCTAATCTACATGCCTCTGGCGACAGAGGCATGTAGTCTAGACGTACCCTTAGCCTCTCTGTTTGCCCCAGTGGGGCTAAGCACACTGTTGAGCCAACAAACAGCTGATCAGCTGTTTGTCGGCTCAGCGCGGCAGCCATGTAAATTTAAATGAAGCGGCAATTATTTAAATCGCCGCTTCATTTTCCTATGTCTGGTAGCCTAATCTACATGCCTCTGGCGACAGAGGCATGTAGTCTAGACGTACCCTTAGCCTCTCTGTTTGCCCCAGTGGGGCTAAGCACACTGTGTACTTCACAGAGGAGCCATAAGACTAAAGACTGCATGCCAAGAGGAGGGGGGTTATATGCTCAGTAAAAATCCAATCCCCAAGTGACAATCCATCCCCGGTGTAACACCCCAATGTGACTCAACTCTGCAATCTGGGGCTGATTCTCCATTGCCTCGGGAAGTGGAGGCGCAGATGAAAACGTCTCTTTCCCCCGTACTGGGAGGCTTGGCGTTCCCGTTTTAAGAATCAAGCGGCCGATGCCAAACCTCTGCATCCCAGGCTTTTTTTGCTCAGCGGCGTCCCTCGTGCACTCTTCTGGATTGCTTGTTTATATGTAACCCCCTCCTCCCAGGCCTGGTTGTGAGTGGCGTGACAGCCATCAGCAGGGCAGGGCGAGTCATGCCCGAGTGTGTTTGGGAATCGTGTGCGCCGTGACTGACAGCTGGTAGTTGCCGGCGAAGGGCCCGGCTGGTGATTAGGCTGTCTGTCAAGCCAGCTGGAGAATGGGAAACGGGGTGGGTGAAGAAGCGGAATGGAAATGCCACTATTCATCAGGTGAATTATTTGCCGCGATTAATTCAGTCGGCTCTTTGAAGGCAGGCGGCGGGAGCGCTGCGAGGCCGTGCCGGATTCCCTCCCCGGCTCTGTCGAGTCCCTTAAGCTCAGAGCTGCAACACAACGCGCCAATCCGGTCCTGGGCTCTCCTCCTCACACACACAGCTTTGTGAGGCCACCACAATCCCAACCCACAACCCCCACGCAGAGCTTTGCGTAACCACCAAGGTCCCAGCTCACAACCCCCCCCCCACACAGAGCTTTGTGTATCCACCACAATCCCAACCCACAACGCCCCCCACACACACAGCTTTGTGAAACCACCACATTCCCAACCCACAACCCCCACACAGAGCTTTGTGTATCCACCACAATCCCAACCCACAACCCCACACAGAGCTTTGTGTATCCACCAAGGTCCCAACTCACAACCCCCCTCCACACAGAGCTTTGTGTATTCACCTCCATCCCAACCCACAACCACCCTCCACACAGAGCTTTGTGTCTCCACCACCGTCCCAACCCACAACCCCCCTCCACACAGAGCTTTGTGTATCTGCGCCAGCTGCCCTCCCGTACTCAGCTCTCCACGGGCAAGGCCGTTATACACGACCTGACTGCTAACGGCAGCTAATGAAAATGAGTCTTGGGGGAGAAGGACAGAGCTCTGCCAGAGCCATAAGAAGCAATTAAACCATATGCCGAGGCGTACACCAGCCCGCCCCCAGCGCCTCTGTTCTCGGCCCCATCTTCACCCCACCCACAGACCTCCCACATGGCATGTGGACTCCCTGGCATACACAGGAGTCCGTTCATGGAAATTCTGCCTGCTTGCCTGCCTGCTTTGTACCTGTCATGGCTGATTCCCCACTCTGGCGCGATGAATGCAGAAGTGGGGGCCCGCAAAAGTACCCCAAAACCTTCTCTCTCCAGGCTTTGGGAGAAAACTTCCCCCCAAATCCTAAAAATCTAGATTTTGAGGATAAAAATCCTCTGCCATCAGCCAAGTAATGATAAGAAAACCAGGGGAGAGATCGCTTGAGAAATCTCAGCTCTAAAGTAAAACCAGGACACAAAAATTAACCAATATCAGGTTAATAAAAAAGAAAGAACTTTTATTATCACCACAATACTCCTGTTGCAAGCATAATGACTAGCCGGAAAAGTCACCAATTATTATATTCATGGGGGACTCCCAGAGGCCAAAAACTTAGCTACAAAGGAGAGGAAAACCCATTTTGAAATGCACAGACATCAGATTCCCATTTGCAAACCATAAAACAATAAAACCTAGACTTTACCCTACTTATAGATGGTGAAGAGTCTTTTCTTGTCGAGAGACATGTTGTCTGTCCCCCTCAGTATCTGGAGAATCAACTGCCCAGGGACAAAGGAGGGAAAAACCAAAAATTCCTTTGTCCAAGTTTGAAATTCCTACCTGCATTGCTATTGGCCGACTGCTACCTGGCTAGGTACAGTTAACCCCTAAGTCCCCAGGCTGCTGCCTATCCCTCATGGTCATGACAGTGCCCCTGGGCAGTAACCCAGCAGGGTGCAGGAATGGACCAACATGGAGCTGGGAGCAGGCCATCTTATTAAACGTTCCCTGGGTGAAGAGAGGGATTCTCAGGCAGCAGCCTCCAGGCACATGAGAGAAGTACTGCATGAGCAACCTGGACGGGCTGGAAGAGGAAACGAGGAGATTAACGGGCTTATAATACAGGTCTATACAATCATGACCAGTGTGGAGAAAGTGAATAAGGAAAAGTGATTTACTAGGGGTCACTAAATGAAATGAATAGGCAGCAAGTTGAAAACAAACAAAAGGAAGTTTTTCTTCACGCAGCGCCCAGTCAACCTGTGGAACTCAGCCAACCTGTGGGCCCTGCTTGGAAACATCCTGGCAACCCATGACTGTTAGCTGC